TCACAAGGGAGTTCACAAGTTTTACCAGAGTGAGATTTGTAAACCGGAACTAGGGAAGCAATGATAATAAAATCCTTATTCAGGGTCACTATTGGAAGGCCACCCTTATATAAGTCTCTCTGATGCTTACTATTAGTCTGGCTACGATTGAGCCGAGGTCCTTTGGAGTATGAGATTCAGCCCTATGCACTCTTTCTCACGTATTGCAGACCTTTTCCGACAAAAAGACATATTACGTAGTAAGTTGTAGTCCCTGAATGAAAGATAACGCCAGCGATCATCATTCGCGGGTTTCACGTCTGAGAATCAGTCACGATTCTCTAGACTGGACCATGTGGTCAGTGGGATATTAGAAAAAAAAGAGAATCATAGTGTTGGGAACGCCCCAAATAAGGAACCTGCTGTCTTTGATCATACAGCGCAGTGATCATAGAGTAGAATACTGTAGTTTGGCTAGAGAATATACAGACGATCGTGACTCCACCTCTATTCAGCGAAAGTGAAGCGAATTGATAAGGTTGGATTTAGCTCAAGGAGGCAGAGCTAACTTATCGTCACTAGGCGGTGGCGCTTTCACCATGCATTTTCGAGGCGCGAAAGTTGAAAATGCTCTGCGATTGCGGACCACGCTGCCTGGCGCAACGGAAAGCTTCTTCTTGTCGGGTAATCGTGAACGCAGCCTTTTGAGCAACTCTATGGTTCAGCATGTCTACACTGTATAATTGCCCTGAAAACCATCATCATCACAGAACTCTTACAATTACCTGACGTTCAAGTTTTGAGTAACGGTCTTCGCAGTTTCTGCGTAGAAACATTGAACTCGATACGATTTGTCAACTTTCGTTACGAACATCTGAAATTTTCTATTTGAGAGGAATCAGGTTTATTTTACCTACAAATCAATTGAATGTTTCTACTGGAATCAACTCAAGTTCGCTAGATGAGTACCTTGAAAAAAATTCCGTTGGAAAACACGGTGTCCGGTGTTTTATTTTATTTGCTTTGATGTTATTGACTTGTCTTTACTGATTATTTCACTATTAAATTGTTTTTGTAGTAATTTTCTTCTGCCTTTGTGCTACAGCCTTGTTCGCCGCGGATGAAGGGGCATGTCAGTGAGGTTGAGTTCGGCGCCCCGCCAGCCCGTTCTCCAACAGTTTCACAAGGGGGTCATCGAAAACAATTAAAACGACTGAGAACGGTAAGATACAATCTTGTCACTTGCCATAAGGAAAAAGGAGGGAACGAACTAGCGCCGCGCCAAACCCATTCGCTCTGACCCGCCCTATCATCTGCACGAGCAACGAGCAAGACTGTGGGTGTAACCCTACCATTCAACCTTTGTGGCAAGCTTAAATGAACTCTGGTTTAATAAAGCTCAAGCAACGCAGCTCCTCATTCTTTCAGGTTCTGGGGAGCGGCACCCTCTCTACCTCCATTCACAATCGTAGTGACATTTGTATGCAAGGTGGCCCACACAATGACTTGCGGGGCCAGCCGATGTGTTCTTCTTCTCCCACTGCTTCTCCTCCACGCAAAGGTTTCCAATAACCTGAGACCGGGGATGAAATGCTTAGTGAACCTAGGCGGAGCTGGCATTGATTTTGGCCCCCGGGCCGTGCGTGATAAGCCGAGCAACTTTCCACTGCAGCACCTTCGCTCTTAATCTGGTACCCCTTCAGTCGCT